CTCTTCCAAGTCTCTAAGGTGTGTTTCTGTAACCGCATACACGCCTATCTGTTCTTTGTTTAACTGCTCCTCAATCTCTAACCATTTTGCCTTCTTTCTGCCACCCTGCATGTTTAATGTAACTAATTGCAACACGCGCCTTTTCCTTTTTCTTTTACCTTTTTTCTGGTTTTTCGCAATTCTACCTGTCAAAGAGTCCTCCTGGTTGTTTCCCTGTTACGAGCTACCCCGGACTCCGAAGGGCCCGTGAGCCCCCCAAAAAAGCTACTGCGCGTCCTGCCAGTCGCCAGCCCACCTCGTGTCCAAGCCTCTTATCGAAATGAATCTTGTCTCTTTGAAATCCACCCCACCTGTGCACTTCCCTGTTTAAATCCACTACCTCGAAACCCTTCTCTCGACTAATTCGCCATATCTCTTTGTTTGCGTCGACAACCGCTCTTTGCAGGTTGACGTTGCGTACTGGTACTCCGGTACTGTGCATACTACAATTTGCACCTGGGGGGACACGGTGCGCATGTCATCCACCCCTTTCGCCAAGGTCGTCGCTAGTCCTGACGATTCTTTTTTCAGGACGTCATTTAACCCTCCCGCAATTACAACGAGGTTACGATTGTTAGCTTTAGCTGCGAGTTGTTCACCCGCTTGACTCATTACTGTCCCCAGCGTTTGTCCTGGGAACGTCCCTATCGCAACTCTCTTGTCGCCTTTCACCCTTTCTTTGATTGCCGCTGCGCATCGGACTAAATTTGAGTCACCGGCGATGATGATCTGTTCAGACATTCCTTCTGAAACCTGCACCTGGCTGCTGACTAGGTGACTAGCGTGAGTCACGGCTGCTGGTTTGCTCCCTCCCTCCCTCAAAACTACTTCCCGGTAGCTGGGCCCTGTGGCCAATGTATCTGCCTTTGTCATGCCTGTTTCCCTCATCTCTCCCGCACGGGGGGTCGTCGCCATAATGCTTCCGCCGTCACCTGCGTCTTCGTTCCCTTTCACGACCTTCGATAGGCCCTTCTCGGCTGCCCGGAGCCTTTCCTCCATGGCTGACGTTTTCTCTCGCTCCTTCGCCAATGCATTCTCCAGCTCTGCGATTTCTTCATGAGCCCACTCCGGACCGCCATCATATTGTTTCATTTCTCCTCGAACTCGCACTGTCTACACTTGGCGTCATCTTCTGCTTTCTCTTCCGCACTAATTTCCACCTTCCACCCTACCCCGCACTCTGAACACTTTACGGTCTTTTTGACCATGGCTAGCTCAGTTTACCGATGCCCACGTGTTAGAACACTGTACTAAAATACACTGTCTAAGCCAAAAGAACCACAATAATAAATAAATACGCTACACTTCACAGCACCTGCGCATGCACGTGGTCGGGTCTACGCGCAGGCCTCAGCCACGTGGTGGCTGGAGAAAAAAAAGACACAGTACAAAATACTAAAAAAACGTACACCGTACTAGACCTAATCAAGCTTTACGCTAGCGCCTTACGTTCTCTAACGCTACATACAGAGGCAAGCTGGAAACATGCAAACACACTTATCTGTAGCTGTCATTCCGGAGCTCTCCAAAAACACGGTCCGACCTCTACCACCACTTCCGACATACGGGACGGTATGTCGGATAGTGGTGTATGGGAAGTGGGAAGTGGTGTATGTCGGTATGTCCGACACTGCAAGGGTACGGTACCGCCATCTAGTGAACACTGCAAGAACTAAATAGAGGTGGCTAATACAGGGGAGCACAGGCCCACGCCCTAAGGAGCTCGCCCCCTAAAGAATAAGGATGGAAAGGTGAGCCGATCTGCAGGTGCGCTCACTAGTGTGTATTAGACATCAGCGGCCATCCGTTGGAGAAATCTACCGGTATTAGCCACCGCATAAACACTGGTAATGAGCATCCTATTCATAGGCGTCCATATCGGGTGTCGGCGGCCGAGCGTCACATCATCCAAAGTGAGGTCGACAAAATGCTCGCCAAGGACATCATTGAGCCATCCTGCAGTCCTTGGGCTTCTCCTGTAGTGCTAGTCCGCAAGAAAAACGGTGCATTGCGTTTCTGCATGAATTATCGACACCTACACAAAATTACCAAAAAAAAGACGTCTAGCCTCTGCCACGAATAGATGAGGCGCTTGATCGCCTCTATGGGTCCCACTATTTTTCCTTCATAACCTTCGTTCCGGCTACTGGCAGATAGAGGTAGACGAAATGGACCGTGAAAAGACGGCATTCATCACACCCGATGGCCTATATCAGTTCAAGGTCATGCCCTTCGACCTTTGTAACGCTCCAGCCACCTTCGAACGAATGATGGACTCCCTGCTCAGAGGATCCAAATGGTCCACCTGTTTGTGCTACTTGGACGACGTGATCGTCTTTTCACCAACATTTGAAACTCCTATAGAGCACCTCTCAGCCATCCTGGGAATCTTCCGTCGAGCTGGCCTGCAGCTCAACTCATCCAAATGTCACTTTGGACGCCATCAAATCACAGTGCTTGGCCATTTAGTAGACGCCAACGGTGTACAACCAGACCCTGCAAAAATCAGCGCCGTCAAAAACTTTCCTGTACCACGATCTGCGAAGGATGTACGCAGCTTTATCGGACTATGCTCCTACTTCCTAAGCTTCGTGAAAAATTTTGCGCACCTAGCGAGGCCGCTTACGCAGCTCCTCAACAAAGAAGTTCCGTTTTCATGGGGCTCCGAAGAGGCTTCTGCGTTCTCGACTCTCGTCGCTCTTCTCACTATCCCTCCGATTCTGGCACACTTCAACCCGGCTGCCCCTACGGAAATCCATACAGATGCAAATAGGCATGGCATTGATGCAGTGCTGGCTCAGAAACAACATGGCCTTGATTGCGTTATTGCATATGCCAGCCGCCTCCTATCCGCCCCTGAACGTAACTATTCGATAACAGAGCGTGAGTGCTTGGCTCTAGTATGGGCGATGGCGAAATTTCGACCTTATCTATACGGACGCCCATTTTAGGTAGTTACCGACCACCACGCACTCTGCTGGATCAACTCTCTGAAAGATCCATCAGGCCGCCTTGGTCGCTGGGCTTTGCGCCTGCAAGAGTTTTCCTATTCGGTGGTCTACAAATCTGGCCACCTACACCATAATGCCGATTGCCTCTCCCGGTACCCTGTCGACGATCCTGAGGACACTGACGAGCCCACGGCGAACTCTATCTTGTCAGTGTCCGACTTCTTCCTTAATATTGGGGAAGAACAGAAGCGTGATTCAGAGCTGCTTGACATCATCAGCCGTATGGAATCCTCCACAAATGATGCTTCCGTCCGCTACTTTGTCATTCAAAAGGGTGTGCTATACCGTCGAAATTTCCGACCAGACGGGCCCGACCTTCTCATTGTTGTGCCTAAGCATTTGCGCCGCTGTGTTTTCACCGAACTTCACGACGCTCCCACGGCTGGACACCTAGGCGTATCCCGCACGTACGAGCGCGTCCGGCGCCGTTTATTCTGGCCAGGCCTTGCTCGTTCAGTACGCCGATACGTCGCCACGTGTGACCTATGCCAACGTCGTAAAACACCGTCGCTGCTACCCGCTGGCCATCTTCAACCAATTACATACCAGCGGTACCATTTTTCCGTGTTAGGTTAGACCTGCTTAGTCCTTTCCCACATCAACAACGGGAAACAAAGAGATAGCCGTGATTACAGACTACGCTACATGCTACGCTATTAGGCGAGCTCTACCGACCAGCTGTGTAACCGACGTCGCTGACTTCTTGTTACAGGACGTTATATTGATTCACGGTGCTCCGAGATAGCTTCTCACAGACCGTGGCCGTACATTTCTATCCCAAGTCATTGCCGACATTCTGCGTTTTTGTTCCACGCAACACACACTGACAACCGCTTATCACCCTCAAACAAACAGCCTAATATCGGAACGATTTAACCGCACTTTAACAAATATGCTCGCTATGTACGTGTCGCCCGACCACCGAGACTGGGACTTTGCCTTACCCTACGCAACTTTCGCGTTAATTCATCCCGTCACGAAACAGCGGGATTTTCACCGTTCTACTTATTGTACGGAAGAGAGCCGACTTTACCACTGGACACAGTCATCTCGGCTCACACCTCGTCCACCAGCGAGTATGCCCGCGACGCGATTGCGCGAGCCGATCATGCCCGTCAGCTCGCTCACGCTCGGCTGATGGCGTCGCAAACCAACCAATGCCGTCGGTACGATGCGGAACATAGAGACGTACATTTCGCTCCCGGTACCCTCGTTTTACTCTGGTCCCCTCGTCGTCGGCTGGGCCTATCCGAAAAACTTCTGTCTCATTACACGGGACCCTACCGTATATTGCGTCAAGTAAAACCTGTCACCTATGAGGTCAGCCCCATCTGGCCATCATCATCTACTATGCGGCCCAGTGATATTGTACATGTCTCGCGGATCAAGCCCTACAAGAATGCGTCAGATAACGACCTTTAAAGCACCGGGACGGTGCCTAGGCCGCCGGGGGTCATGCTACGTGCCAGTGCATGGAGTTGAAGAAGACAAAGCAGACAGACTGGCGTGAACTAATCTGTGTGGCTGGCGCTGCTTGCCTAACAAGCTGTAAATACATCGGTGACTACCCCTCTGAGTCAGTCTCCTTCTCGTAACAATATCAACTAGTTGGGAATCAGGACAATCGCGTTGATACATTTGAACAAAGCATACACCACATATGAGCAGCGAATGAGCGTTTAGCGTGGTCAAAACGTTTAATAATGTTGAAAAAAGAGCCACAAAGATGACAGGTGGTGCTTTACCGCCTGCAAGCTCGGATAGGTTCAAAAGCGCCCCTTCATACTTTTATTCCTATTGGCTGCAGTACAATAAACTTGTGGATAAATTACCTCTCGGTGACCGGAAGTTTCGCTGCAATGCATAAAGCTTGAGTTGATATTTACTGTGACCTACCACACCAAATGAAATTTGTTTTATTGTATAAATATTCAATAATCCTAGATGAACTTACTCTCCGGTTGGAGTGGGGATTTTGGTGGCGCCCTTGTGGGTGACTTTAGCTCCCTTGCCCACCAAAAAGTACACGTCTGAAAGAAGAGAAACAGTGTAAATATAAACTACTCTTAAATATAAAGTATTCTTGTGCTGGTAGACACGACATTAATTGAAAATAACAGAAAACTATGCCAACAAAAGTAGAGGGGATGTTATTAAAAAAAGTGCGGTGTTGTTGTGAAGAAAGAAAAGTGGACGTGAAGATAACTTGCCTCCAGCAGGATCCAAACCTGCGACCTTCAAAAACACGTCCGATGCTCTACTACAGAGCTACGGTGGCGGTCATCCCGCTGTCCACTTTATAGCGTATTTATGTGTGTTTAAACGTGGGAGCATTCCAGAGTCACCTGCTGCTATAACACACTCAAAGAAAAAAATAGTAAAAGAGCGTTCTGGCACGGGTACTCAGGTACTCCCTTGACGCGTTTCGATAAGTGAACGCTAATAAAAAAATGGTTGCCATTTACGAGGAGTCATAGAACTCTCGCGAAACACGTTTCGATTGCCTTCCGTGTCGAAGGCGCCGCCGTATACGCCATACAGATCGGGCGTTTGCCGTTCGGCGCCGTCGTGGCGGATTGCCCAGCTCACCCCAGTTAAGGTTACCCGGCGATCACCGCAAGTTCGTGAATGGGATTTTTACTCTCAGAAGCGGCAGGCATCATCTGATGCACTGACGCAACATGGACATACGAGTAGCTTTTCATGTCCAGATGCACCGCTTTACAATGCACGGCTTGGTATACCAGCAGAAAACAATGAAATTAAGTGACCGCACAATCGCATTGCAACGTGTTTACATGACGGTTCTTTGAACGCATAAATGTCCCAAGAATGCACCACATCGGTGGCTGCGTCTTGGTGCAATTAGACGAGATCGTGTGAACTCACCGGGACCAGCGCCATCATAGGTCAACTTGGGGATGAAGATCTTCTTCTTGCTCTTGAGCACGATGGGGCCCGAGCCGACGTTGTGCGCTCTCTTGGTGAGCGCTGGAAGTGTCACCGGTGCGGCTGCCTTGCGCGCTGTCTTGACCGCCGGTAGAGGAGACTGCAAGACAGACAACACAGAATCCTGTTAGTTAATGCTCCCTTTAACCGAGTATCACGACAATAACTGTTGTCTATGTGGATTACGGCGAGTGAAACGGCGATAAGGCATCATGAGAGAGTATAAAGCCTGCGCTAATGGACGAAATAAAGCACCTGAAAACAGCATCGCCAACTGTCAAGTATATACAAGGGCGCACTGGGGTGGTAAATGCGTTCTAAAAGCACAAAAAAGTGCTCGGAAATCGCAGCAACAACCGTAAACCACGCAGTGCGCATGTCTACGTAAGGTATAACTGTTTAAGAATTTCGTTTTTTATGCAATTTTACCAAAAGCAAAGGGTTGCTCACGAGCGCGTTTGGCGCCCTGCATTCGGCGCCAAGCGCTAGCGCAGATTCCCTCAGGGAAGACGCGGAACCGGACCAAGCACCATGTTTACTGACCGGAACCCGAACCACAACACATTTGTGCGATGCACAGCACATTAGTGCGCTGCTACCGAGGACTTCGTCTCGCTGAGGTGGAGGGGATTGGCGTAATAAGATGTATTTAACTTCTTATGAAAGTTCTATAGAGAAACGCAAGAAGCCAATCAATCAGCTAGCACTGAGAGGGAAAGTACAGGAATTCAGAGTGTCGCTGCAGAACAGGTACTCGGCTCTTAGTGAGGAAACGAACCTTAGCGTAGATACAATGAATGATAATCTAACGAGTATCATTACGGAGTGTGCAATGGAAGTTGGAGGCAGGGTAGTTAGACAGGACACTGGCAAGCTTTCCCAGGAAACGAAGAACCTAATTAAGAAGCGTCAAATCATGAAAGTGTCAAGTACAACAGACAAATAGAACTGGCACAGCTTTCGAAGTTGATTAATAGACGTAAGGTATGCGATGTAAGAAGTATAACATGGAGAGAATTGAACACGCTCTGAAAAACGGAGGAAGTGTCAAAGCATTGAAGAGGAAACTTGGGATAGGCAAAAGTCGGATGTATGCACTAAGGGACAAAGAAGGCAAAATAACTACCAATATGGATAGGATAGTTAAAATAGCAGAGGAGTTTTACAGAGATCTGTACAGTTGCCGTGACAAGCACGGCCTTAATACTATAAGAACTAGCAGTAACCCAGATTACACCCCACCAGTAATGAAAGAAGAAGTCAGGAAAGCTTTGGAGAGCATGCAAAGGGGCAAAGCTGCTGGTGAGGATCAGGTAACATCAGATCTGCTGAAAGATGGAGGACAGATTGTGTTAGAAAAACTAGCCACCCTGTTTACGAGGTGTCTCCTGACGGGAAGAGTACCAGAGTCTTGGAAGAACGCTAACATCATCTTAATACATAAGAAAGGAGATGACAAGGACTTGAAGAATTACAGGCCGATCAGCTTGCTCTCTGTAGTATACAAGCTATTTACAAAGGTAATTGCTAACAGAGTAAAGAAAACATTAGAATTCAATCAACCAAAGGAACAAGCAGGATTTCGAACAGGCTACTCAACAATTGACCACATTCATACTATCAATCAGGTAATAGAGAAATGCTCAGAGTATAACCAACCCCTATACATAGCCTTCATAGATTACGAGAAAGCGTTTGATTCAGTAGAAATATCAGCCGTCATGCAAACACTGCGGAATCAGGGCGTAGATGAAGTATATATAAACATTCTGGAAGAAATCTACAGGGGATCAACTGCTACCATAGTGCTTCATAAAGAAAGCAACAGAATACCAATCAAGAAGGGTGTAAGGCAGGGGGACACAATTTCCCCAATGCTATTTACCGCGTGCTTACAGGAGGTTTTCAGAAGCCTAGAATGGGAACAGTTAGGGATAAGAGTCAATGGAGAGTACCTTAGTAACCTGCGCTTCGCCGATGACATTGCATTGCTGAGTAACTCGGGGGACGAATTGCAACTCATGATTACGGAGTTAGACAAGGAGAGCAGAAAGGTGGGTCTTAAAATTAATCTGCAGAAAACGAAAGTAATGTACAACAACCTCGGCAAGGAGCAGCGCTTCGAGATAGGTAATAGTGCACTTGAAGTTGTAAAAGACTATGTCTACTTAGGGCAGGTAATAACCGCAGAGCCGAACCACGAGATTGAAGTAACTAGAAGAATAAGAATGGGGTGGAGCACATTTGGCAAGCACTCTCAAATTATGACAGGTAGTTTGCCACTATCCCTCAAGAGGAAGGTATATAACAGCTGTATCTTGCCGGTACTTAGCTACGGAGCAGAAACCTGGAGACTTACAAAGAGGGTTCAGCTTAAATTGAGGACGACGCAGCGAGCAATGGAAAGAAAAATGGTAGGTGTAACCTTAAGAGACAAGAAGAGAGCAGAGTGGATTAGGGAACAAACGGGGTTAAGGATATCATAGCTGAAATCAAGAAGAAGAAATGGACATGGGCAGGGCATGTAGCGCGTAGACAGGATAACCGCTGGTCATTAAGGGTAACTGACTGGATTCCCAGAGAAGGGAAGCGGGTTAGGGGGAGACAGAAGGTTAGGTGGGCAGATGAGATAAGAAGTTTGCGGGTATAAATTGGCAGCAGCAAGCACAGGACCGGGTTAACTGGCGGAACATGGACACACCAGTGGCTTTTTATGTCCAGGTGCACCGCTTTACAATGCACGGCTCGGTATGCCAGCAGAAAACAAACAAATTAAGTGACCACACAATCGCATTGCAACGCGTTTACATGACGCGTGCTTTGAACGCATAAATGTCCCAAGCATGCACCACATCGGTGGCTGTGTCTTGCTGCAATTAGACGAGACCGTGTGAACTCACCGGGACCAGCGCCATCATAGGTCAACTTGGGGATGAAGATCTTCTTCTTGCTCTTGAGCACGATGGGGCCCGAGCCGACGTTGTGCGCTCTCTTGGTGAGCGCTGGAAGTGTCACCGGTGCGGCTGCCTTGCGCGCTGTCTTGACCGCCGGTAAAGGAGACTGCAAGACAGAAAGAACAAAATCCGGCTAATTAGTGCTTCTTTTAACCATGTAGCACATCTATAAGTGTTGTTTATGTTGATTATGGCGAGTTAAACGGCGATAATACATCATGACAGAATATAATGCCTGCGCTAATGGGCAAAATAACGAACTTGAGAACAGCTTCGCCAACAGTCAAGCATACAAGGGCACACATGGGGTGGAAAAGGCGTTGTAAAGGCACAAAACGTATCTGCGCATGCTTGGAAACCGCAGCAACATTCGTATATCACGCAATGTGCATGTATACGTGAGGAAGGGACAACTGTTTAAGAATTTCGTTTCGTCTTTACGCAATTTTACCAAGGACAAGGGGTTGCTCAAGCGCGCGTTTGGCGCCCGGCGTACGGCGCCAAACGCTAGCGCAGATTCCACCAGGGAAGATGCGGAGCCGGACCCGGAACCAGGTTTACTGACCGGAACTCGGGCCGCAACTGTCAGCTGCCAGCGATTTCCGCGTGCCCCAAGCACACCCTCGATGGTCATTGTTGTCTTCTTCCTGCCATGGACACGCTCGCGGCCACCACTCCCATAATTATCAATATGTCAAGCGACAACACATTTGTGCGCTGCACAGCACATTAGTGCACTGCTACCGAGGACTTTGCCTCGTTGAGGTGGAGGGGATTGGCGTAATAAGATCAAAGTTCTTATCAAAGTTCTATAAATACACTGGTTCGTTCAGCAAGTGATCGTGTTCGGCCTTACTTCCTGAATATCCTATGCGTCCGAAAGTAAAGGAGTGTATTTCTTTAAATACGATCTAAGTGTGAGCTTAGCGTTATGAATTCGTCATATTCCTGCTTGATTGGTCTAGTTGATTTCTATTGGGGATTGCTGTTTGCACCTGCGCTGCACACATTATACTTACTATATACGCTCAGTATTGTTTCATCGTTCAGCTTGATTAACTCAGGGAAAGCATTTAATTAGGCTAGGTGACCCTTTCCTAGCTTGTTGTGCTCCTAACCTATATTGAGCTATAGCTATGAGACACCGAATGACGTCAATAAATAAATAACCTACCAATCATTCAATCAATCAATCACGTGAACATTATTTATAAAAACTGAGAACGATGTTATTCTCTGTAGATTACGTATTTAAGCGTTGTATGCGAACGGCTCGCGCTTGAGTTACCATTAATTAGAACTTTCGGTCGCTAGCGAAATAAAAAACACAGAAACAACGACGTTAAGGTCTCAGAAGCAAGGACTTTCTTACCCGAGCAGATCTGCCTCCTATAGGAGACCACCGGACACCACGGATGTATCCAGTGATATCTCTTGCGACACGGTGGGGAAGTGGTCCGTTCCTGTAAAAACCAACGTAGCTTAGCACAGGTGAAGTATAGTGGCAAGTGTACCATCATCAGCAAGCTTAAATCGAACGATTCACAGAGTGACATCCATGGACTGATTCGACTGATGCCACCCACGAAGCGCTGGATGATGATGATTATGATCAAAACTTTATTGCTCCCAAAAGAGGGGAAGCGCTGGGTGATGTTGCCGAGGTAATAACTCTTCATGTTCGAATAATAGGTCAGCATACATGGGTAACATCTCGGCTGCAAAACCCGAAGTTGCGCTGTGGTGGCGTCTACGAAACCTTTTCTGGACACGCTGCGGAGCATTCGAGCTAAGATTGCCGACAACTGCCCATATACAATCTCTCCAAATTCCATTTGTACCTTAAGTGCAAAACTATCTAAGTGTAAGGAGCTCAAAGCCAACATTTGTAATCACACAGAACCAAAGTTACAAGTAGACTGGTTGAGTGACAACAATCGATGTTCACATGTGTCAGAGAGCCAGTATAAGGCTGTTTATCTAAGTGACATTTCCCCGTCAAGCAAGCATAAAGGAGCCGAACATAGCGACATTGATTGGATTTTTTTTTATTATTTCGTGGTCCCTGAACGAAAGCTCTCCCAACAGTACACTTGAAACGTTGTACGTGTGAGGATAATTTTGGACTTGCTGAAGTATCTGAGCAAAAGCGTTTAGGTTGATGCATTGCGCGAATTCCGTCGTGCCGTTCTAGACGCGAATCAATGAGCGGGATCGATGATTCGACGAAGTGTCATCTGGCCTTGAAGAATCATGAAGAACAAACTAAGTGAAAAAGCACCGACAAAAATGAAAAAGTTTAAAACATCAGAAATCGTATACGAACGGTGCAGAACATTAAAAGTTCATATTTCGGCTACTGGGCCTCAGCCGAAGAATTTGATTAGCCTTGTTTCTTTATTCCCTCTATACGTATACGTCTGTCTTAATCAAGTCAAATTCATTGATAAGCGCGCTATTGGCGAACGTGACGATCACTAAGATAACTATTTTGTAGAATAATGAAAATAAGCATTCTCCCCCCCCCCCCGCTCTCTAAACAAAAATAAATAAATAAGAGCGCGACAAGTCACAAATTCTGCAAGCGACTTGGTGAAAAAATAACCGGCGGAATTGGCAACTCTGACAACGGATATCTACTCTTCCACATTATGTACGCAACTCCCAAAGGATATTCTACGTCGAGCCTCACGTACGTAAACGGCAGCTACACCTAATTTGAGTGCCGTATTGAGTGCACGCATTTGAGAAAGTAGTATCGTGCACAGTGACATAACCCCGGTGTAGGAATATTTCCTACACCGTGGGCATAACACACTCGGAGCCTCGTGTTACGAGAAAAAGGCAGTGTAGGTGGTAGAGACGACGTCATTTCTGTGGGCCTAGCAGACTTGGCCGGCCATTGAAACGCCCCAGTGTTTGTTCTCAGCATTAAACTTTCACAGCGCAGCTGCTTAATTTGGGGTCGAATTCCGGCATGATCCGCATGATACTGAGCGGGTATAGCACCACAGAAAGCGGGCATGTGCGAAGAAACTGCTACATAGCATATCCATGCATGCATAGCAAAGCGAATGGGTGGGAAAAGAAAGTGAGGGTGAAAAGGAAGGAATGAAAGAGGAGAAAGGGTGAGGCACAGCGTAATGATGAGTAGTATAGTCAAAGTCCTTCAACACTTTTACGGGTCGTGAAGCTTCGGTGAAAGATTGATATAGGGACAGGCGCAACCGTAGGGGCGCCGTCACACACGGTGGGGCATCAGAGTGGCCACGGCGCTTCAATTATGCGGCACGTGCAGGAGCGGTGAAACGTTATTAAACGTACCCGTGAAGGTTGAATACGTCTTCATAGTGATTTTACCTTTAAGGAAATTCGAGAAAGCTATAGTACAGTGAAATTTAGCGTTTAATGAGGCCTTGAAGTTAGATTTTAGACGGCATGCTGACTGCACTGTACGATATGCTACCGCTATGAAAGCATGCTACTTTTTTATTGCTTCCTGGAGCATCTAGTGAAAATGTGTGCCCAATCTAGAGTTCTTCAGCGACTCTGGTGGTTCTTAGTGCCTAGCGGAAGTGCAGTGGTTGCAACTTTTGACAGTGCATATCCAACCTTTCAGGCTGCATTTACATTCGGTGTTTCTATGCGAACATATATATCTTAAAATTGTCTCCTATTAATTAAACCAACAGCCACTTTGAATGAATCGGTGCTTTGAATTTAGCCGACTATGAGGATCAAATAGAACTTCGTACGACTTTTGCCTCGTTTTCGCGCTGTGTTTTTGGTTGGTAACGATGCCGTAGTGCAGTCTAAGTTTGGATGGCCATGGATTGTAGTTTCTCAGTATTTTACTGTGCTGTGTAGCTTACTCATGTATTTTCTCTGTCGTCTATTATTGCTTTCACTGTTAAGATGAAAGCCCTACATGCCTCTCCAAACGGTAAGATTGACCGACTGCGTCCCGCGCCGGCGGCGTCATCAGGCGACCCAAAAAGTTATCTTCTCTTGCTCAGGACGCATTGATATCGAAAATTAACTTTTCACGCTTTTGCAGCTTGCGCAAGTTTTGTACAGCATTTTGGTGCAACCTCTCTTGCGCCATCGCCCAAGCAAGCTTCTATTGGAAGCGCTGAAGACTCTGCTCCGTGCAATGGATGCGTGCTTTGAATTTTTCAAGCTGTGAGGAGATGCATGTAGCTCCGCCTGTTTGACATATCACCTCTACAATTTTGGTCATCTCAGTGCCTGTATAAACAAAAACGGTGAGCATTTCACTCATCGGGCTTCTTTATTACCTACTGGCATGGAACGAAGAAGAGGCGGCCATTGTGCTCACCTTCACTGAATGCGTCATTATGCATTGCAGCTATGGCAAAAAGGCTCATGCACAGTGTCGATTCAGCCTCGACAGTCTCCAGCTCAGCTGACGATTCCCGTCCACGCTTGTTAGGCGGGCGAGCTCTTCGCTTTTTTTTTTTTGCACTATACAATTGTGCCGTGAGGCCGTGGAAAAATCCCAGCACAGCGTGGACTAAAGTTTCGGAAAGTCGTGCGGTAACTTCACAACACCACCTCCTATTAGCCAGTAATCTACGCGAAACACGTCACTCTCATCGAAGTGCTTTTCGCACACGCGCACATTCAGAGAACCAAATGTGAAACCACCAGTTTGATGTCGCCGCATTGCGCGCTTTCACTTTTCCTCCGTTTATGTCTCTAGATAGCGAGAACTTGGAGAATTTTTCGTCATTTCTTCTGTAACCACCTCTGTAACCACACATTTGGAGGTCCCGATACAGTCTTTGACTTTGGAACCTCCTTTTGTATACTAAACACATGTCACATTCTTGTATTTGCATCAACAAAAAAATTGAGATCTGACAAAAAAATCCGACAACCAAGTACACCGCCGGTATACGGCATCCTTCCCGATATTCAGGCAGAGCACACTAGGCCCACTAGTAATCATACGGTAAAAACTACACGATGACACGCTATACAATACAATGCAGTGCCCGATGGATGGATGGATGGATGGATGGATGGATGGATGGATGTATATGGCTGTACCCATTAGATCGGGCGGTGGCTAGCGCCACCAAGCCGTAATACTTAATGAAACAAAAACTAGATTTATTTTTTCCCCTTAAATAGAGAGGTTGAAGATTCGTACTTTGCAGTGAAGGGTTTAATTTTCACTCGTGCCCTGACTTTAGCCACCAATCAGATAACCTCCTTCTAGTTAATTCTACCCGCTTAAAGTCTATTTTGCCCTCACTGTCCCTAAACCCCAGTGCTTTGAAAATCTCTGCGCCATCATCCTGAACTACAAGGTGAAGCCCTTTACAGAACATTATCAAGTGTTCCGCAGTTTCTTTTTCCTCTCCACATGCACTGCATACTGTGTCTACCCCTTCGTATTTGGCCCGATATGTCTTAGTTCCCAATACTCCCGTCCTGGCCTCAAACATTAGAGAACTACCCCGAGTATTATCATAGATTCTTTCCTTGGCAATTTCCTGCTTAAAAGTTCGATAGATCTCTAGTGCGGACTTCTTAATCATGGCCATTCTCCACATGTCAGTCTCCGTTTCCTTCACTTTCTTTTTAACCGATAGTTCTTTGTGGTTTGGCCCCGTGCTGTTTTCCAAGTATTTACAGTCAATTTTCTGGTTCGCTTCCGCCATTTTGTATCGCATTCTTCATGTACAAGTAGCTGAATACCCTCCTAGCCCAACGCTCCTCCCCATTTCTCTCAATCGCTTCTCAAATTTTATCTTGCTGCTAGCTTAACTACCTTGTACTCCCTGATTTGGTGTATTCCCGTGAGCTCGTAAGGCAAGCCTACCTATTCCACGTTGCTTAATTTCTAATCTTGCTTGAACTTCCGATCTCATGTACAATATCGCATTGCCGAACGTCCGACCAAGAACCATGACCCCTTTCCATATCCCTCTCACAACATCATACCTGTTGCAATTCCACAGTGCCCTGTTTTTCATTACCGCTGCATTCCTGTTACCTTTAGTCGACACGTATATTTCGTGTTCCCTTAGGTACTCGGCCCCATTGCTTATCCATACGCCCAGATATTTGTATTTATCTGTTATCTCTAGCGTGACCTCCTGTATTCTAAGCTCACTACCTTCATTGTCAATAAAATTTATGACTGCTGATTTTTCCTTACTGAATCTGAAATCTAACCTATCTCCCTCAATACCACAGATGTCCACCAATCTCTGCAAATCTTCCTTGTTGTCGGCCATTAGCAATATATCATCTGCGTACATCAATGCTGGTAGTGCCTGTTCAATGAGTTTTCCTTGTTTGACGAAAGAGAGCCTGAAGCCCAGTCCACTTCCCTCTAATTTGGCCTCTAATCCTTGTAGGTACATCATGAATAATAAGAGTGACAGGGGACACCCCTGCCTAAGCCCCCGTTTTACCTCTGCAGGCTTGG